TTGGCTAATTGAGCATGGACTTTGTTGTTAGCTTTTGGCTACTTTCAGCTTTTAGCAAGATTTCACAACTTTTAGTTTCCAACTAGCCTTCTGTGATATTTAGTCAGTATTTTGTTTCATTTACCTTTTAGCTAATGTTTTGTTGCTTTAAGCTTGCATTTTGCTACTTCAGCTTTCAGCCTTCCTTCGTTTGCTATTTTTAACTTTTAACTAGCCTTTCACTAACTTACTACTTTTACTTGTAGCTAACTTTCTGTTATTTCTAGTTTGCAGCTAGCCTTATGTCGCTTTTAGCTGCATGTTGCTATTTTAGCTCTTAGCTAGCTTTTTGCTACTTAAAGCTTTTAGATATAATTAGCTGCTTTTGACCTATTGTTATACTTGTTGTAGCTTTAACTACTGTTTCAGCTTCTTCTTCTGTGTTTAAAAGCCTCGCTGATCTAAAAACAGATGCATCTGGAGCTGAAACTCACCGACGTTGCGAACCTGGTCCGTGACGTCGGCTCGGATATCTGAGAAGTCCCACATCGCCAAAAAACTGTCGAAACACGAGCCCTCCTCGGCTTCCTGGACGGTCAGAAGATCAGAGAAAAGACAATGAAGGAAGTGAACAGACAGACAGACAGGCAGGCAGACAGACAGGCAGACAGACAGGCAGGCAGGCAGGCAGCCAGACAGTCACACAGAGAGACACAGACAGACAGACAGGCAGGCAGGCAGGCAGACAGGCATTCAGGCAGGCAGACAGACAGGCAGGCAGGCAGTCAGACAGAGAGACAGGCAGACAGACAGGCAGTCAGACAGAGAGACAGGCAGACAGACAGACAGGCAGGCAGACAGAGAGACAGACAGACAGGCAGACAGGCAGGCAGACAGACAGGCAGGCAGACAGACAGACAGACAGGCAGTCAGACAGAGAGACAGGCAGACAGACAGACAGACAGGCAGGCAGACAGAGAGACAGACAGGCAGACAGGCAGGCAGACAGGCAGACAGACAGGCAGGCAGGCAGACAGGCAGACAGACAGACAGGCAGGCAGGCAAGCAGGCAGGCAGACAGTCAGACAGTCAGGCAGGCAGGCAGACAGACAGACAGACAGACAGACAAGCAGGCAGGCAGACAGACAGACAGACAGACAAGCAGGCAGGCAGACAGACAGACAGACAGGCAGGCAGGCAGACAGACAGACAGACGGGCAGACAGACAGACAGATACCTGGACGTAGGGTTTGTAGGTGAAGGTGTAGTGGTGGGCGATGGCAGCCAGGAACATTTCTATGCAGATGATGAAGTCCTGTCAATCATAAAGTTTATTTAAAAGGACTAAAACAAAAACAGAAGATCAAAAACAACAAAAACCTGATTAGTAACAAACAAACGACTGATTTTCCTGATTTAATAAATAATTATTGACGACTGAAGTCCAGAGAAGAGTCATTCCTGGGCCAGGTGTTGTTGTTCCTCTTCTTTTGTTTACGTGTGTCTTGTTGTTGTTTACCTGCAGTCCGGTGGCCACAGCCTCCACACTGTCCCAGTCCCAGGTGTGTCTGTCAGAAATCACTCCCACTTTCACCAGCAGAGCGATCAGAACCGCCTGCCTGCACACAAACCCAACGGATCAGAGCCGGTCGGACGTTCTGTACGTTCAGTCGAGGTCCGGTCCTACCAGAACGAGACGAAGACCACCAGCTTGACGCACAGGAACTTCCCCACGGGTCTGATGGGCTTCAGCTCGTCCCTCAGGGCCCGGTAGAGCAGAACCAGACAGTACATGGCAAACTGCAGACAAGACAGGCAGACAGGAAATCACCCTCAGATTTATAAATGGAGGTTTTAGTGATCCCAGAAAAAGCTGCTTGATTTCTTTGAGGGGTTTTAAATGTTTGATAAGTCACTGGAAAAGTCGATGTGATTTAGTTCTTGGTTTTAGTTCGGCCTGTCACGATAACAAATGTTGCTGCTGGACGATTAATGGTCTCAGAAATTATTGAGATAAACGGTAATATTGTTTGAAATTTGACAATTATTAGAAATTATTGTCAAATTTAAGAAGAAATGTTGGTTACCTTAATTTGTTTTGAATGTAATACCTGTTTTTGAAG